GACGGTTGGTCTCACAGTAAATTGATATTAAAGCCGAGGAAGTAACACAGTTTCGCCCCATGGTCCCAGGCGCGGATGCAGAGCTGACTCCCTCGGCTGAGCCGCTTCCCTCCGAAATCATCCCTCTCGGTGTCCCTTCAGCAATCCCGGTGTCTCAGCTAATGCCTTGTGGGGAGGCGTTTGTGCTTTAGCTGGATGTGTGAAAGTCGATGTTATTTTCCTTCTGCTTCGGTATTTCATTGGAACAAAGCTCCGACGTGCCCCCTCTGAAGAGTGGTGTTTCTGTCATTGCACTTTCAATGTAATCTTGATGAAGTCGCATTCGTTTGTTAAATTCAGGAGTCATGATGGTTGCAATTGCAGTATATCACTTCTTTGCTTCGTTTGCAAGGCCATGTTGCTTTCTTTTAAATAACTTTTAAAAGTCTGCCTGCAATAGTATCGTGTTTCATACACTAGATATCCGGGCTACCATCAGCTCCTAAAAATGTGTAAACAAATATATTCAGGGTGAAAAGTAAATGTAAAAGGGCGAATGAAATGTAGGTAATAGAGTTCCCACTATCTGGGACTGTGAAAATAAAAAAACACAGTAACTTGAGCCTTTGTGAACTGTCATATTCTTTTCTAATTACCCGTGTTTAATTGAAAAATCTAAAGGGCTACAGTTAGACCAAGTACCAGTAATTTGGAATACCGGGGGGGGGGTTTAAACCTTTGTTTGAAGGTAAATATTGAAAAAAATACACCTTAGTGAGGTCTCTTTCAGTAATCTATAAAACCTATAAAACGAAGATAAATATGTGTTTTGGATTATGTGGCTGTGATAATGACCGTGACAAAACTGCAAAGTGTACTGCAGGACTGTGATTGTTTATTTATTAAACACGGAAATGGGAAACTGTGTTTAATGCCCATTTAATCTGATGTTTATTATGTATAATGGGGGAGGATTAAGGTCCTCAGTGACATTACTGATTGCTGTATCAGAATGCTGACAATGAGGAAAATATTTTTTTTCTAAACTAGTAGTAGTAATCCCATAGGCACAAAGAATAGAGAGTTCAACACCTCCCAGAGGCACTGGGGCTAATATTTTGTAACTCTCTGATATCTGTATATAAGTAGTTTGTTTGTGTCAAGCTATTCATATTTAATTGCAGCTTTCTGTGAATTCTCTGGACTTGTACAAGGAGTACTGTAATCCTTATCAAACTTTGAAAGACTCATAGTAATCATTTTGTTTTTCCCTAATTCCTTCAGACAGAAACAGATTCCAAGATTCCTGGAAATATAAACAGAACATCAACTTTTTTCTTGGCTTTCATTGTCACGATATTTTGTTGACTTACTTAGAAACTGAAGTGTTTCGTGATCTGATACTGGTGTCTCAAGCTCATCATTGCTTCACGTAAGATATATTACTGAACATTGGAGATAATCCCTACCCACCATGTGTGAGAGATTTGCTACCAAGAAAGGACAGATTGGTAGTATCAGGCTGTGGATGCGTATAGGTAAAAAGCCATTATGATCTCCTCTACAGTGCAGACCAAAACCAAAGATGGGCATAAAACCAGAACACAGGAAGGGCAGACCTGAGCGTTGATGCAACTCAGAGATAATTTACCTCTCTGGCTTTTTTATTCAGATGTATTTTACTTTTGGATGTTCAAACATAATATCCTAGAATCATCCAAATATTTGTATTTTAATCCAGTAAGTAGGTTTTTATTTCTCAGCCACTGTAGATTAAAATTTTATTTTTCAGCCACTATAAAATATAACCCAAAACAGAGAGCAAATGCTCAAGTTAACAACTTGGTGCAATTAACACAGATATAGCAGGAAGGCTTCTCCAGACTTTGATATTCTCCTGTTTCTTCAGGTAGAAGTTGTATTTGGATATCATCACTCCATTCACCTTCCCTTCATTTTCTGAATCAGTAAGTGTCAGTAGTAATACTGAAATATTTTTTTTAAATGTTGTGACTTTCCTTCCAGGAAATAAACATGTTTATGGACTAGCACAGGCTTTTGCAGAGATTCTACTCAGAGTTTTTTTTTAGAGGTGAATAGAAAAAAAAATTAAAAAAAAGGAGCCGTTGACAGGAAAATGTGGTGAGTTCTGATTCTGCATTAAAATCCCACACCTGCTCTGGATGAATTCAAATTTATACAGATTGTTTACAGAAACCAAACATTTCGCCTTGCTCCTATTCCAAAGAGGAATGGGTTAGGTAGTACCAAATGATTGTTTTCCCGTGTTTTAATAAAAAATTTCAAAGCTGATGCCAAGCACAGGTGTCCTACTGTTCAGTAAATCATGAATCACTGATTCTTTCTGCTTAAAAGAGTCATAGGCTCCCATTGCTTTCCTCTGTGGCTACTGACATTTATTTTCCTGAATGACTAATTAAAGTCAAAATGTCCTATAATAAATGTTGATTCAGTATTTTCAATATCCCATGTGTAAATGAATAGCAGCTAATTTCTTCACCAGGACTTGTGGTTTCCACAAGGGTGAGGCTCTTGGCTTGGTTGTAGGGCAAGCTTATTTTATTTGTCTTACAATTTCTGCATATAGGGCAAGATTCATCGTGGGTTATGAACACTACAAAATGTTCAAAAAGTCTGTATTCCACATTTGAAAGACATATCAATTTTATTTCTTTTTTTTCTCATGCCAAAAATATGCCTCATTGTCAGGAAATAGATCAGTGTTGAAATCACAGAAACACCATTCAAATACAAATGAAAACTATTTCTCTGTCTTCCAGCCTTTGTCCACTAACACTCTTGGGAAGATAGAAACCCTGCTGCTCAGCTTGAAGAAGCTCAAATGGATTGTAACTTTTCATTTTTCTTTTTCTGTCGGGTGGAGCAATAGCAGTTTCTGACACAGCATGAGACCTAAAAGCTGCTATTGGAGCTGGCAAAAGGATGAGAATGATAAGAAGGGTCGTTTTATGCTTAGTCAACAGTATAGATCTACTAATAAGTATGGGTGAAAAAGAATCATTTTCCGGGTCACAGATTCCCAAAGCTGATGGAAGAAGGATGTGACCTACAGTGGTTTTGTAACAACCATATTAGAGCTCCTTCCTGAATTGTAAGGGTAGGATGGGAATGAGGCCTTCTTGTCCACAAGCAATTCACAGTTATTGCCCTTTAGAAACTCCAGATATGGCACAAGCAGATAACATTCTGGTATAGTGTAGTGAGGAAAGTCAAAAAAGTTTGCAAAATTCCTAACCCATGTGGAATTTTTTTACTTTTCCTCCATATGGCAAAATCAGTTCATAAAGTTCCCAAACTCCATTGATAGCAGCTAGCAGAATTCCTGTTACTATGTAACAGCCCAAGCTCGGAGGGTTTAGAGGCATACACAGGAACAAAGCCCAGGGCAGCCACTTCATACTGATTTCTGCTGTTTGCTGCAGATGGGGAGAATTTGAAATGCAGTTTGCAGCTGCTATGCTCACATTTTGCATGTTCAGCAGTAATCCTCACTGATGAAACATAAAGAGGTCAACTTAGTGTTCGTAACATACAAATCAGAACTTCATCCGCATATAAAAATATTTTCATGCAGATTTTCTGAAAACAACAACAACAACAAAAAAGCCCCCCAAAACACCAACAAGCAGAGACCAAAACAACCCATCAAACAAACTGCACTGAAGAAACCAACCAGATAAATGCACAGACAATGGTCTCCACGCTGATAATTTATGAAGGAAAGAAGCTGAGAAGAAAAGTGCAAAAAATATAAATGAAGATAACCTAAATGAACAGGTAAAACAATTAAGAAAAATTATAAGATATGCTTTCAGAATTTTTAACCAATAATTAATACCCTATTTGCTATAGTTAGCTTGTGGTTTTATAAATTGTTAACAGTTATCCATTGCCTTCTAGGCTATATATATATATTTTCACATGGAATGCTACTTAAAAGGGTTCCAGAGCCTATGTAGGCCCCAAACTGATATCTAAAAAAGGCAAAAGGGAGAAAATAATAAAGTGGGCACACTGATTCTGACAATTATATTCTGTAGCTGGTTAAGTTTGTTTTAAAAGTATTGCCATATAAGTTCCCAGTATACAGTAAGCAGCAGCAGAAGAATTAGAGAATATGAGTTCAATGATTTAGTGCTCCTCACAAAGGAAAATAAAATGAAACCAAATCATAAGATCTGCACCTATTGTTGGAAATAATCAGTACCAGCAAGATAGGCTATTTATAAAAAAGATAGGCTATTTATAAAAAAGATAGGCTATTTATAAAAAAAACCTGACATGTGGAAAACAGATATGTTGTGCTGCAGGTAAAGCAACACACTAAAGTGGAACATATTCATTATAAGACTGAAAGACCAACATCAATTGCAAGACAAATGTATACTCCTAACACTTAAGTCATCACGTAGAAAATGCAATTTAAAAATGTTTAAAGAAAATTATATAAAGCCCAGAAGGTGGCAGGAGAGGGTAAGATAAGCGAAGTCAAGGCAAGTGACTCGGAACACTTCCCCATAACACTATACCGGGAGAGCGCTGCGTAAACCAGCTGGAAAGATCCGGGGGACCCCCTGCAAGACTGGCGGAATCCCGGTGCACGGCCGCACTAGGCCGCAACACTCTACGGCACCTGAGACTGGTCAGGCCGAGTCTATATCGACTCATCAGGGGAAGTGCGCTCAGAATATCATAGAAAGGTCTACTGGCCGTTGATGCGTCCTAAGGGGAAGATGCGGGGGAAAGCGGTTCAGTGGGCTGAGGGGGGCTGGGGGCCTCGGCGCGAGGCGCAGGCAGAGAGGGAGGCGGGGATTGTGGCGGAGAAGCCGCCGGGGCCCCGGGGCGGCGGCCGAGAGCAGCGGAGGGGGCGGAGGCGCAGGCCCGGCCCCCGCCCGCCGTGCCCGCCCCTGCTCCCAACCAGGTCGGCTCCCAGCGCATAAAGGGCGCCGCGCGGGCGGCGGCAGCTGAGAGCGGTTAGAGGCGGCAGCATGTCTGGCAGAGGCAAGGGCGGGAAGGGGCTCGGCAAGGGCGGCGCCAAGCGCCACCGCAAGGTGCTGCGCGACAACATCCAGGGCATCACCAAGCCGGCCATCCGCCGCCTGGCTCGGCGCGGCGGCGTCAAGCGCATCTCGGGGCTCATCTACGAGGAGACGCGCGGCGTGCTGAAGGTTTTCCTGGAGAACGTCATCCGCGACGCCGTCACCTACACCGAGCACGCCAAGAGGAAGACGGTCACGGCCATGGACGTGGTCTACGCCCTCAAGCGCCAGGGACGCACCCTCTACGGCTTCGGCGGCTAAAACGCACCTTTTGTTCCCGGATCACCTCGAGAAACCGAACCCAAAGGCTCTTTTAAGAGCCACCCACTTTGTCTTTCAGAAGAGCTGTGTTGCTTTGCTGTATTTCTGTTTGCTCCTGCTTGCTTTTTAGTAAGTCTCCTCCTTCTCATGCTCCCGCTCTCCGCCTCGCCACCCCCCAACCCGACATTTTTCATGTCGGGCTGCTGCTTCTAAGCGGCTTAAGAAAAACGCCAAAACCCCGGTTAAGGCAATAACACCCTCCCCCAAGAAAATAATCCTTTGTTTCCTCGTGACCAGCGTGTTTGACGGACACGGTGGGGCTTGTGAAGCAGGCGCTTGATCACTTTTCAGCGGGCGGCGCTGCCGGTAGCCCTAGCCCAGACGCCCAGACCCATGTCCAGCGCCGATCGGGTTAAGCGCCCGCGCCGTTTCCAAAAGCCCGCGCGGACGCCGATTGGCTCCGTCCGCCACCTTCCTTGCTCGGTAGAGCCCGCGCTCCGATCCCGGGACGCTCGTCCCAGCAAAGCGCACCCCCCCCC